CAATGGATCTGAGCTCGGCATCCCCTCTTTAGGAGACAAACTGATGATCCAACAGGTGGAATGAATTCATGCAATCCCAGTCACACACACATTTGTTAGAAAGACATCGCATCAGCAAATCCCATTCCCAAGGACTTCTGCTACAGGCAAAGCTGATGCTGTCTGCCTTACACCTCCTTCTTATGGAGCGCTGCTCACCAGCAAATCCTTAGGACCGTGCAAAGGGCGGTGTACACCAGTGCACCCTACCTCAGGAAAGAGACGAGGAAAAGTTTTCTGCCAGCTCTCGAAATCCTAGTCTCATCCACCGAGCACTCAAATAAAAACTGAAGTGAGAAACTATGTCTGGAACTAAATTAAGTCACTCCTTATTCACGCCTTTAGCAGCCACTGCTCAAACAGTGGGTCTTCACCAATATGAGCATTCAGAAGCAGTGGTATTAACAAACAAAAATCACGTATTACCAATCCCGTTTCTCCCTCTTTTACAACCCGTTCCCCCTGCGGCGGTACAGGGGAGGGAAGGAGGAGCAGGTACCCCGCTGCGGAGCGGGGTTGGGGTGGGCACTGCTGCACCCTCCCGGGCTGGGCACGACAACGCGCAGAGGTAAAAGGGGTGGTTTTACCCTTCCTCAAGCCATCGGATCTCAACCTTAGAGATAAACGTCTGTAATAAACACGATGTAGGTTTGAAAACGTGTGCCGTGCTGTTTTTTCTCGTTGCAAAGCCTCGTAGCAGCTCGCTAATGTAGCTTCAGAAAAACATACGGAACAAAAAACGATTCGCAACGCAATGTCTTCGCGGCTTGACAAAAACAAAACCCTCTCAACATGTCTTGTTTTCTTGTCTTTTGTTTTGGTTTGTTGTTTATTGCTTTGCTGTTGTGGCTTTTGTTGGGGTTCGGGGGTGTTGTTTGTTGGTTTGTTTGCTTGTTCTAACGGATGCGTGCGTTTTTAATATATGCAATGAAAAATACCGGTGGGATGTGCGACACGAAGACTGCACGGGCGAAATTCGTTTACAAATTCGCCGGCGTGTTTCTTTGAGAGGAACGGGACCGTCCGAAAGCTGAGAAATCACACGTTTTGAGCCGCACTGTTTTGCTCTGCCCACGAAGCACTCATGCAGCGCGTCTCACAGGGTACCGACCCCCGCCGCCCAAGGGGGCAGCCGTGTGGGGGGAACGCTTCCGGGGGGAGAAGTGTAGCAGAAAAAGAAGTCTGAAACTTTCGACGGGGAAAGGGCTCTGCTCGGCTCTGCCCCGCTCTGTCCCTGCACCCCTGGAGCGGCAGAGGAACGGGCCGTCGAAAGCCGCCGCTGTAAACGATGATAAATAATATATACATCAAGGGAGGCAGCGCTTGGGCCCCCCGTGACCTTTCCGCTGCTCAGGTTTAATCTATAAATACCCAGAAGTCATCCGATCCCATTGTTTTGCTGCCCTCTGAAACCAAACCTGCCAAGGGGACGGAGAGGCGATCGCCGTCGCCAGCGCCCAGCTACCCTCCTCCTCCTTATCATCATCCTCCTTCTCGTATGTATCTCAGGGGCGGGAGAGCAGAGGGCTGGCAGAGGATACGGGGCAGCCGGGCCCGGCGGCGGGCAGCAGCATAGGGAGGCTCCAGCGAGCCCCGAGGCGATCCCTGCCCTCAACCCGGCCGCGGCCCCAAGTGGACCGGGAATGGAAGAGGAGCAGAACCGTTGTAATCTCGAATTCCTTTCCACAACTCTGTGATTAAAATCGGCATGCGATTGAAATCCGGCTTGATTTCTCTCCCCCTCCTTCACCCCTCTCCTTCACCCCTCTCCTTCCCCCCCCCCCCATTTAAATGAGTCTCGTAAAACAGCACATTAACTCTGGCGACAAGATTCACGGTTGAAACATAAATAACTTGGATGCTCGGGAGATGTTTTTTTACAAACCTGTGAGATTTATCCGCTCGCTTTTCTCACCTTTCCCAACGCTACCCCGCCCCGGGCCCGGCACCCCCAGCCTGCCCACCTCGCCCCAAACGGAAAGACGCGGAGGCGGCGGGGGGGAATCTCTCTTGCACTCGGAATCGCCAATATCGTCACCGAAAGGTTTGGGCAAAGCTGTAAAACCGCACGCTAGGTGTGAGGGATTTCGCCAAAACGGGGGAACGAGGGACCGCTGTCTCCCACCCACCCCAAGGCTGCGCTTTGTACATGCCCAGCATCGAGGGCGCGAAGTCCCCAAACCGGAGGGGAGAGGGGCCGCCTCACAGATACCCCGCAACCCTCCATGGGCCGACGAGTGTCACTCGCGGTGCGGACAGAGAGGAAAATCCTACACGGGAAAGAGCCGCGAAGAGAAGAGCGGAAGCTTACTGTTCCCTTGCCGGCGTTTAATTCCCAGCGACGAGCGGTTTCCAGCCCTTCAGACCCTCCTGAGCTGAAATTGAGGGGGTTTACGCGAAAACATCGGTAAATGGGGCTAAAGCGATTTCCGACGCGAAAACGTCGATAAATGGGGCTAAAGCGGTTTCCGTTATCACACGCAAACCAGCACCTAATTCCCCAGCGCCCAGTGTAACCTTTGGGCCTCTCCGCAAGCACACCCGCACGGGTAATGCCTCCGGCAGAAGGAACAACCCCGCTTTCCTCGGGAGCACCGACTTGGAGTTTTGAACCTTTGGGACGCTATAAAAACTCCTTTTTTTTTTTCTAGATGGATGGAGATTTGGCAAGTTCAAAATACTTTAGGTGTAAAGTTTTCTCTTAATTGGGTCTTGTAAAGCTGGAATTTGGTGGCCATTATAGAGCCGCTAATCAATTTTCACCCAGCAGCAAAGGTACACCGCGGAGGATTTAGCTTTAATGAAGTGACTGCGCAAATTACAGTGGCGGACTTTATTTAAAGTCTATCAACCTCCTAAAAATGATTTCTCGAACTGTTCTTGATTTCCTTTGCTTTATGAAAAACATCACGTTTGTTTCTAAGGTTTCAGGCATTAGCAGCCACCCTCTCCCGCTCTCCAGTTTAGCGCAGGGGGGAGTTTTCCAGTTTTGGGATTTTTTTGTTTCAAATTCGTAAAGAGGGAAAATTAAATATATATCCTACTGTGGCTAAAAATTAAAGAGAGACGGTTCTTAAAAAAAGACTGGTGCAAATATATTTTCTGTTACTGGAAAACGGATTATTCTTTTTTTTTTTGGTCGTTTCGTTCGCGTATTTATCATTTGGAACAGGGAAGACTCGGATGCCGCGAGCTGTAATTTTTAGTGCTGGCTCTTTTGACCGCTCCTGTCCCCTCTCCTTGAAGCCCTTTGAGAGGGAGGTCCCAGGCACCAGATTTTACCTCCTTTTCCTTAGGCTCCGCACCGGGAACGGCTGCTGCTCTTAAAAGCAAATTTGAAACTCGGCTACTTGAGAGCGGAGCGGCGCGAGGTCTCCACAGTTTCCAGTCCTTCTCTCCCTTCAAAAACACTCAGTAGATTTCTTTTTTACACCTCAAAATAGAATTCTTTCTGCCTTTTTTTGTGCTTTCTTTTTTTTCGTGTGTGTTTTTTTTTTTTAATTATTATTATTTTATTTTTCTTTTGCTGCTTTTGTTTAGGTTTTTTTGGGGGGGTTATACTGCGCTTTGGGCAGTTGATGCTCATTGATAGCGCGGGGAACGTCACGGCAATACAAAGAAATCAAGTAAAGTATTTAAAAGGTGTTTTCCCTTCCAAGTGTCGCGGAGTGGACTTGATGCGAGTGGGGGAAATCTCTGCCCTTTCTCTGTCTGGGTCGCGCACAGAAATGGCTTCACCTTTGCTCCCCACCCCTCCCAATACGAAAGAAAAAAAAAAAAGAAGTAAAGAGAAATGTTCTAAACTTCTCTTTCTCCGCATGCTGTGATTGTGAGAGCGGGGCCGCTCCCTCTGTCCCATTCCAACCCGCTGGAGAGCGGGGAGGGAGGCAGAGCGGGAGCGAAGGGCAGCGCTCTTTCACCCTCCGGGGTCACTACTTTTTCGGGACCGTCGTTTTAGGCCGGAGAGAAGCGGCCTGCGGGGGACACAGGAGCGGCCCGGGGGTTTCGCTTGAGCCAAATAACGGCTCCAAGAGACCGGCTCCCTTTAAATAAAAATGAATAAACAGAAAAACGTTTAAAATTAAACATGCGAATACCACGAGGGGCGTCTCATGCTCTCTCTCTCCAAATACGACGCAGCCAAGCAAGGGGCCAGGGCCCGGCGCTGCTCCCTACGCGCTGATTCCCGGCAAGACCCGGACGCCTCGGAGCTCCCCTCACCCGCTGCACCCGCTCCCCCTGAGGCCCTTTACCCTGCCAGGGGCAGTGTCCCTATGATAGGCAGAGACTCCCCTCCCGGCCCGTGGAGGTCTTGGGTGTGAGCTCGCCACAGGGAGCGGGTATGTGTGCTGGAGCCGGTGCTCGCCTTGGAGTGAGGCTGATGTGGGGCGCCCGCCTCCCACACCGAAACGTCGGGTTAGGGCGGCACGGTCTCGGCGGGGCAGACTCGAGGTGGTGGCCGGTGTGTCGGGAAGCCGCACCGAAGAGGAGAGGGTTGATCCCTCCCGCGGGGGCATGTGAGTGTCGTGCCCCACTCTTTTGCCCCGAAGCAGACGGCTTCCGGGGAAGCTCCGGAGGGAGACAAAACGCGTGTCCCGAGACGCCCGGGAAGGACAATCGCGATCGGCAGGCACGGAGAGGGAGGAGAGAGGGAGAAGGAGGAAGCGAAGGGGACACGCCGCTCCCTCCCAGGAGATCATGAAGTTATGGAGGGGCGAGGGGGGTGGGGTAGAATTAATAGGAAAAAAGTTCTCGTGAACCGAAAAAGGGAAAAAAACTAAATCTAAGGAATCCCCGCAAAATCCGCCTCCCCTTCCCTTCTGCCCCTAGCCCCGGATGTTTCCCCGGACTCGCTGTCCCCCCTGCCCGGCGCCGCCCTCCCGGCAGGCAGCTCCCGGCAGGGCTTCGCGGCGAGCGGGGCTGGGGCAGGGGGGTTCCGAAGAGAAAGTTGTTGCACTAACCGGGGTTGAGGTCCAGGCACTGAGTCGGATCTTCATTGTCCCCTAGCTGACCACTTGGGCTGAGGCTTTCCATGGACAAATCCAGCCCCTTGTCCTCCCAGTCTCGCAGTTTCCTCTTTTTATTTGTCCCGATCAAAGCTTCCACCGAGAAAGCGTGCGCTCGGGAGCTGAGGGCCACCGCCGATCTTCGCCTCTCACTCATCTTATCCCCCAGCCCGGACCCTTGGGCGGACGAGCGACCAGTGGCTGGGAGCGCAGGGCTCGGGGACCAGACGTAGAGCCTCTCGCCTCTGTCTCCCCCCACCCGTCCCCAGCTGCACCCCTAGAAGAACCAGCCCTCAGTAGACTCCTGAAGGCACTACATGAGGCTGCGATACTCCGTCGGCGGAGCCGGGAGGGTGTGCTCAGCGCAGGTCCCCAGCACTTGCTCAGAGGGGCTGCAGCCTGGATTATTTTTTTCCCTCCTTCTCCCCTTTCCTTCTGTCTCTCTCTGATTGATCCAAACTTCTGGGATTTTTTTTTTTTATTTTTTTTTTTCCTGCAGGAGCCGGGCAGCCTGCGTGCGCCTGTCAAGGGGAAAAAAAAGAGAGAGGAAAAAAAAACCCTCTCCGCGGCCAATAGGAAACAACGATCGGGAGAGACCCAAAAGCTGCGACCCAATGGGGAGGGGAGGGAGACTCGGGCTTAAGGGAGAGGAATTTTGGCCATCTGAGTCCTGGAGCACCGGCCGGGAGAATTAACTGTTTGAAGATCGGGGAGCCAGTAGGAAAGCCATAGCTCTAAATGCAGAGAGGTAACAACTCCCGCACTTCACTCCCCGCACCCAGGGGCTGCCGGCAACTAATCCCCAGGCAAAATATCCCCGAGGGGCTTTACCACGCGGGGGGTGCGGGTCAGGGGCTGGTTTTCAAACGTCACTCATGTCATGTATTCCTTGAGCTTGCCGGCGGCGTCGGTGTTTGGCCCCACAGCAACAACGTGTTGGGGGGGGGGGGAATGCACTTCAAAGCGATGCAGGCTGCGTGGGGCAGCGGGGCAGATGGAACAGATCCCTCCCTCCCCCCCCTCCCCCGGCAGTGACAGCGCCTTCTCTTTGGGAAGGGAGGGTTATTTTTTATAAATACATGTATATTATTTTTTTCCCTTACCCCGAAACCCTCCCTTCTAAGGACGGTGTGCAGCAGCTCCCACATTCCTTGGGGGGGGGGGGGGGGGGGTCGCAAGAAAAAGGAACAAGGGCCGAGTCTGAGAAGGTGAAGGAAGGAAGCATCGCGTGTTTTCAGTAGCTGATGGGACCGCGGAAAAATAGGTGAAGTCAAACGAAACACCGTCCAGGGAAAATACGGCAGGGAAAGCCGACGGGGGTAATCTGATCCAGAGGATCGAGTACAGGTTCAAAATAAACGATAAATAATTATAAAGTAAGGGAGAGAGTTACTATAAATCGAGCCACGGTGGAAAAGCGGGCGAGGATACACACCGAATGTCAGGAAGGGATTATTTTGGGCTGGTGTTTCTCCGATGCTCCCCGAAGGCGCAGAGCTGCTTCCAACAGCGCAAGGGAGATCGACGGTTTTCTTAGGCGAGAGTTTTTTTCAACGGGGCTGAAAATAAGTGAAGGGGGCAGGGGATGGAACACAAATACTTCTTTTAGCTCCCGGAGTGATCCCTACCGTGCCCACATCTGCCTGGCCAGGCGGAGCCCTTCAGCCCGCTATTCCCGGCCTAAAGCACTGGCTCTCACCCGGGTGGCAGCAGTCCGCCGGTGTTGCAGACGCACGGACGGGGATTTGGGATGAAAAGCGAGAAAGAAGCCGCTTCTTCGGGAGATCCCAGGAAGGCTAAGCCCTGCTATCTAGGCCGAGAAACAGGTTTTGTGCGTCCCCGTCATCCGCTCTACACCCCCTCCCCGCTGATCCTTTCCCCTCCCCTCTTGTTCATTGCCTTTGACAGGTCACACGCCGAGGGCTCAGAGCCGGGCACAGCGGCGCTGCCACACGTGGTGTCGTGTGTGTGTCCTTGTCCCCTCCCGTCAGCAGCCGGAGGAAGCGAGTGGCAGAGGTGGGAGCCGGCGGCGGGACTGACGGAGGAGCGGGGACCCATAGCGTGCACAAGCTTTTCCAGCCGGTGCCCATGCTGTGTGTCCTTGCCCCGGCAAAGGGATGTCTCACAAACAAACAAACAAATTCCGTTTCCCTGTTTCCGAAAGCCTCCTCTGGAAGACAGGCAGCAAGGAAGGCTTTTGAAGAAGCTGGAGGAGATTTTAGAAAGAGAGCCCAGGAAAACAGAGGATTATTTATAGCGTTTTAGCGAGAGGAAACGGTGTTGGAAAGGCAGGGCGATTTAACCGAAATTTGGGGGCTGGTGTAAGACCTCAGAAATACGTTTTCCAGCACGTTAGGCGTGGTTTTACGGGTAGACAGTTTTAAGCAGCACCCCCCCGTCCCCCAAACCCTTTTCGGGTCTCTTACCTAGGGGCTCTCCGCACTGCTGCTCGGGGTCTGCGAGCCGTGTCAGAGCCCTAGCAGGGGAGCCCGGGCAGCCTCCACGGCAGCAAGCGGGAGTTCCTGTGCCAACACGGCCCCTAATTGTCAGACCCCGGGTAGCAGGGACGGGAGAGCAGCTCCCCGCGGGGCCGGCAGCGGGGTCCGGGACCGCGGGGAGCCACAGCCGCCGCCGGCCGCTCCTCTTCCGCCTCCCTGCCACTGCCCTGATGCTCGGGAGAATTAGGGCAGCTCGTACTCCCTCTGCCCGTCCGCGCCGGGCAGTGCAAAGGCGATAAACACAAAGGCATTGCTGCTCCTCAGTCCGAGCGGAGGGAAAGGGCAACCCGCGCAGCGGCCTTGCGGCCCCGCCACACGGGGATGTGCCAGGCGAAGAGGGGAGGGATGGGGATGTGGGGAGGGAGGCCACTCTGGCCCCTCACAGGGATCTCTGCCCCCTGGGCTGAGAGCGCTCTCCCGGAGAAACCCGTACTCCTCAAGCCGCGGGATGGGGGGCTCCATCTAGCCTTTGCACCAGCATCTCGCTGAGCAAAATGCAGCCGCGCTGCGTCGCCGGCAGCCGGTCGGTTCCAGGGGCTCTTCCCAGTCGGAGAGGTGATAGGGACCGGGTACCGCTCCGTGCGGCAAACGGCCTAAATCTGAAGCCGACCTGGACTTAATCTGGATTTAAATCCCATTCTGGCCCCCAGCCTCCAGAGATGAATGCGTCCCTTTGCCTGGTCTTTATTCCAGACCCTCACTCACAAGGGTTGCTCCCATTAAATCCAGGAAACTGCTCCCTGGAATAAAGTGGCAGGAGCAAGGGTCGCAGGGCCAGGCCCCGGGGTTTATAAAGAAATCATTCACTCCCGCTTTCCAGTTGTTGTAGAGCGAGCCTGAAAATATTTGTTTAGATATGGAAAAATTTTTAGGGGAAAAAGGGAAATAAGGGGAGCCGGCTGCGGGGCTCGAGTGCTGTCCAGATGTGCTGCTTGCAGGGGCTGAGCCCAGCCAGTTCCAAACTGCTCCACCGCAAGGAAAACGTTACCGAGGGTCCTTTAGCCAGACCTAGCCCAGGAATTTACTCTTTAATATATTTTTTATTATTATTTTTGTAAGTTCCTAATTGAAAACAACGTTAAAACTAGTCAGGGGGTGGGGGCTGAAGGCTGCCCGATAACGCGAGCGCGTGATTTACTGGACTTTAATGCAACGTCGATTTGCTTTTAAAACGGACCAGAGGATTTCGAGGCTGGTGAGTTTAAGGGGCGAGTTTCAAGCGAAGCCCGGTCTCCGCTTGGCAACTAGATAGAGGTGACGGTCCCGAGCTGCGCGGGGTCAGTTATTGTGATTGCGGGGAAAAAAAATACGCCTGCAATTTATTTTTATGGTCTGCACAAACGGTATTGTTGCGTATTATTAAGTAATTCATAATTACACCCCTATTATGCCCTCGATTCGTCGTCCCCCGTCCCCCTCCCTTTCCCCGGTTTTCTCAGGCTTTGAGAATTGAACCACCGCAAAATATTTACAGTCTCAAGTGTTTTTAAATGGCCTTTGTTTGTGTTTTACAGAATAAAAATCTCTATTAGTGTTTAAACAAACACCATGCCAGTCTCTTAAGCTTTCCAGATGTTTGCAATAAAATGTCAGGTTTTGCCTTTGGGACTCAAAATAAAATTTAACTACCTTCACCCTGTAATTATTCTCTTAGCTCTCCCTTCCTAAATTTATCTGCTTTCTATCAGGAGAGGGGGGAAAAAATCCGATTACACACTTGGACTATAAAAACCAGCCAGTACTTTCCCTCCATTTTACCAGGACTTCTCTCCCTCTTGTTTTGGCACCGCGGACCAAGGCTCGCACATTATTTCTGTCACTCCTGTTTTCGGGGTGGCAGAAGGAGACCAAGCAGAGCAGAAACTCACTGGCAAGGTTTCCTGGGCTTAAGGCCACAAAGTGCCCAGTGTCCCCCGGCCCGTATGCCCTTGCTCAGCCCCATCCCGGCCCCAGTGTTCCCGGGAGGGGGAATGGGAGCCTGGGGGGGGGGGGGGGGAGGGAAGACGAATCGGGAACTTAAATTGTCCCTGAACTTCCTCCAGCTCCGGGCGTTGCTTTTTCGCAGGCACTAATCAGACCTGACTGCATTTCGGAGCCTCCCCGTGGTGCTGTTTGGAAATAAGCAATTATGATGAATAATTCAAACAAAGCAGGTTCCCCCGGCAAACAAAGACCAAAATCCCAGCTAGAGACCCTTCTGCCTTCCCAGCTAACTCACTTGGAACACCACAGGCAGGATTAAAAGCCATGCATTTTGTATTTACCGCGCCAAACTTCAGAACAACCCGGAACGATAAGCGGGGCTCTTTTCTTCGTTTGCCGCCTACAAGCCCACCTCGCCCGGCTGTCAGCAGGCTCGCAGATCTTCCTCAGCTTTCAGCTTTCGCTGCTTGCATGAACCTCACTGATACACACGGGCGCGTTTGCTCTGCTCCCGGCTCCCTGTGCCTTGCAGTCCCCGGGCACAGCCTGAGGGCGCGCCCTCCCGGACACCCCCCTTCATCCCCTCGCACACCTCGGGACACCCTGCTTAGTACCCACAGGCACACAGGGACACCCTCCTCATACCCTTCAGCACCTCGGGACGCCCCGTTCGTACCCAGGAGTGTCCCGGGACACCCCGCTGCATACCCACGGGCACCCCGGGCCCCACTCCTGCCGCATTTCTATACTGTATTTGCTTCCCCTCTTCCTCCTCCTGGAGAACCCTTCCTCCGCAGATGTTGTCCTCGCCCTGCGCTGAGGTGTCCCCAGGGCAGTGAAACCGCACGGCTGCAGCTCTCGGGTGGTGAGGGCCAGGAGGACGAGGCTGGTCTCTGCTCTGTTCCTTTAGACCTGTAAGTGTCTAAATCAGCCATGGCAGCCTGTGCACAGCTTGCTACTGGTCACGTTACCTTCCTGACAGCCGTGTGTCCCCTCCTGCCCCCCGAGAAGAGGTGGCAAAGCCGGACGAGGTCGCTGGTGCCAAAGGGAAGGGGGGACTCTCCCTGGGCTCCGCTGCCCCCTGCGCTCACCCCTGGCCCCGTCTGCATTCGCTGGGGTTTCCTCGGGCCCTCATTTTCCCTGTCTCTGGCCCCGTTTGCAGGTGAGCTCGGAGTGTGATGCTGGACAGAGAGAAGGAATTGAGAAGCGGTTCTTGTGTCTGGTGTGCTTTGGGGTTGCTTTGATCTAGTTTGGTTTGTTGGGTTTATATTTTTTTTTCCCCAAGACATAAACCATCCTTACGGGATTTCGGAGGACATTCAGGGGGTTAGGGGACCTTGGAAAGAGCGGGGAGAAGCCAGAAGCCGGGCTCTTATCTAGCAATCTCCAGGACAAGAGCTTTGCCCAGATTCTCTGAGCCAGGGCGCATCGGGAATGTTGCCCACCAGGCGACAAGCACCTCCCGGGGCCCGAGGGGCTTAGCTACGCTGCGCTTGGCCTCAGCACCGCTGCTGCTTCGAGTCCGGGTCAGGCCGCGGCTGCCTTC